GTTTTATGCATGCAAATACTGATAAGGTTATTATTAACATTACTCTGAAGCACTTCGTAGCAAACTCAAACCAGACTAAAGTTATAAAAATAAATCAACGTTAAAATCAACGTTAAATAGAATATAATTAAAAAATCAGCTTGTTAAACTGGAAATCAAACTAGAGTATTATGTTAAAAAACTTGGTCGTACTCCAACGCCGAGCTGGTTTGAGATCATCGTAATTTTAACTTATATAGTTATCATGTGTTTATCATTGAGTAAATGTAACATTACGTAATTTATGTACTGATATGTATTTAACAACTTTCTCAGGCGACTTTTTGACATTCATAAAAGTTTAAAATATTTTCTTTGAACAAAAAAAAACAAAGAAAAAAGGGTTGTAAGAGACATTCTATGAAAAGGTCGAATATAGACGTATTATAATACCGAATAAAGTAAATATCCCCCATAAAGTTTCAGTATATTTAACATATTCGGTAACATATTCGGTATCAATCAAGTGCATAACGTACATTTATGCCTTAATGTTAACAACCTGCATTTTTTGGAGGGGTAAACAGTAACGCCCACCTGTTTTTCTTAATATATCTGTAGATTTATGATGTTTCAATTTAGTATATAAATATAAAGTTTTTTTCGTCATTTATCGTCATATGGAGCATATGAATGTACAGAAATTTCGAAACATTTCGGCAATTATTAATTAAGTTTGAATAAAGTAATTGCCAAAAGAAACTACGTACTAATTATTTACATCCAATTACTGTACTGTATATGTACGTATATATTTTAGATTAAATAAAAAAAATTATATTACTCTTTTATAAAAAATATTTCAATTTTCAACTTTCTTGACAATTGGTAAAATAAAAAAAACAATAATGATAATAATAATTAAAGGTCAAAAAACTAAAAAAAAAAATTTATTCTATTTTTGTTTTTTTTTTATCCTTAGATTAAATGTTCATACATAGTGTCCACAATATACAAGTAATAAAAAAAAGTAAAAAAAATGAAATTAATGCCATATTGTTCGTCTTATGTTTTGCCAATTTTTTTGTGTTGAAGTGAAAAAAAAAACGATTTTGCCAATTCGAAAATATTAAAATGTGTAATAACGATTTATTAACACTAACGAGAATAAAAATATATATATATATATTTAAAAAAAAACGATCATATGATGAGTATATTCAAATAATATATAAAATGAAGCGTGTTTAAAAATATCGATAAAGTATCCGAAGTTAAATAAAGATATGCATATCTATGTTGGTTTCCTTTACCTCAGGTAAAGGAGATAATAAAGTTTTTTTTCTTTAGATTTATAGTAAATTAAGAAAAAAAATAATGTATCAAAAATAGATTGGATTGACGAAAAATAAATAAATAAATAAATAAGTAAATAAATAAATCAAAATGTATAATTATACTAATCGGGAATCAATCTCGATTAATAATAATAACGGGATTGGTCTTTTTTATTGTCATAAGTAGAAGATTTGTAACTTGAAAAATTATTGAAATTTGTATAATATGGAGCATAGAAATTACTGCTAGTGCTCGAATGTTTAGACTGAGCACGAATTATTTTGTCAGCATGTTGAAATTGCATGATAGGTAATTGAATATTTTTATCTTCAATGTCTTTAATATTATCATCATAAAAATAGCACCAGTCATTAAGAATATTACACAAAGTAGTTGCAGAAGGACGGTTAAATGGGTCCATACTCCAACATCTTTTCATCAAAGAAGAATAACATTGTGGTATATCATGATAAATTTCTGGTCTAATACCAGAACAGATATCAAAGATAAGATGTTTGTCATGAGGAATATTGCTAAAAGGTGATTCACCAGATGTGATTTCCCACATTAACGTTAATATTCCAAAGCTGTAAATATCAGCAGATCTCGTGTAATCATTACCCCTTAATACCTCAGGAGCAACATAAGGAAGAAAATCGTAAAGTTCGGCATTATGTAAAGAGTAAGCACCAAGTGGTTGAGGTAATCCAAGGTCACCAATCAAAGAATAATTATCATCGCATTTTTCGTTTAAGGATTTAAAAAAGAGAACATTACCACTATGTAAATTTTTATGAAGTAAATCGGATTGGTGAATACCAGCAAGACCAGCAGTAATATCTTGCAAAATTTCCAAACGTTTCTTCCAACTTAATTTGCGAACATATTGCAAATTATTTTTTAAGCTACCACCTTCGGCGTATCCCGAAACGATCATATATTCTGATGTTTTAGGATGTTGAGTGATACCAAATAGAGGTAATAATACACTATCATTCTTTATCGCAGCTTTAAAAGTTTGCAAATAATGTCTTAACTATATAAAAAATAAATAAATAAATAAAATTATAAGTAAAAAAATAAAGATAAAATGTTTGAATAATAAAAAAAAATAAAAAATAAAATTTAAGTAAAAAAATAAAGATAAAATGTTTGAATAATAATAATATAAAAAAAAGAGAATATGTAAAAACAACCCTTTTCTAATTCGGAGCAAATATCCGAAGAATCTTGAAAGCTTTTCAAAGAAACAATTCTACCAGTTAAAGAACCTCTAGTAGCGCCATTTTTATCTTGGATGTAAGTCCAATTATTGATTGAACCTTGACAACGGAGCCAATCATTTTTTTCATGATCCCATTGTATAATATCACCGTTAGTCCAAATAGCTTTATAATTAGTACTATTTTTACCATTAGCGGTAAAAGTAACTTTAGTAAGTTGATCATGAGGGATCCATTCCACAACTTCAAAATAATTCTCAGCAGCAACTTGAGAATCTTGAATGAACAAGTCGATATGTTTATTACCACTTGTCCATTTTGAAAAGCTTTGTCGAAATCTTTCAGCGTTACAAGATTGACACCAATCTTTGTTCGTGTTTGGTTGAAAACAATCCTGACATAAACCGTATTTTGAATCAGGAGAGAGACTAAAAAAAAAAAAAAGGAATCATATTATATACGTAGAATATAAAGAGTAATGATTTATTAAATAACACTTACGCTTTCTTGATTTCAAAATAAATCGTTCCGAAAAAAGATTGTGTAGGCATATTTGCAAAGTAACGGATAAAGGATTATAAAAAAAAAAATTATAAAGGTAAAAAGAGGATAAATGCTTTCTATTCAGAATGAATATTTATATAAATAATCTATTAATTATATTTTAAAATATATATAATTCATATTTGAAATTAGTATGTAGTAGGGAAAGTTGATGTAAATAACATATAATAAATAAATAGAGTATCTCACTCGTTATAGAGACTGAGATATTTAAAACTAAAAACGAGTAAATTTATGATTTTTATCATTTATTCATTACATAACCGATAATAATTTAACGTTAGGAAATTTAATTAATATCCATATTTAGTGCTAAATGTGATTTTCGCCTAAATGTATTTAATTTTATTACTGTACCACTTTCATAAGCATGTTTTAACTTTTTATCATGTAATTTCATTTCATAGTAAATTGCATCGGTGGCCTATTTTTAAATCATAGGCAACGGTTCAGAAAGTTAAATAGTTCAAATAAACTTGAAAATGAAATAAAAAATAAAACCAAAATAATCTTATCTCTAAAGTTCGCTTGTAATTTCATAATATATAATACTAATGTGAAGGCTCAACGAACAATTTGTAAGCTTTTTTTATGTTTTTTCTTGCTTTTCGGATATTA